TTTTCCGGTTTAAAATGCAAACCATTTACCATAATGAATAACTTGTACATCAGAGATTTTATTGCTAAGCCACTTCCCGAGGGAAATTATTACTATTTTTCTGACTAATATGTTATGATTCACCTCAAGGTTCTTCCTCATCCTAACTAACCATGCTTATATAATATTATTATTAATATTATTATTACATAATGTTTTCACCTAAAAAAAACAGAAGCCAACAATAGGCCAACTATACAGTGACTTAGAAAAGGTAAGTCACTATTCATACTATTATGCATATTAAGGCCTGTTTATGGCGATATTTGTCTCACAAAATCTGCTTTAACGCTTCTTTGTTTTCATTAGCATTGATTCCAGGAAACAATGACGTTGAGTTGCCCCAGATGAGCCTGTCATGCTATCAGTACCCACAAACCGCTGCTCAGAAGGCAACTACCGTCATTTCCGCTTCAGAAGAACAACAAACAAAAAGAAATGCACAGTATGAGTGCGAGGATGCATTTTCACTACCAAAATAAATAAACTGAATTCTCTGTTGGTGATTCGACACTTTGAAATAGGTGATAAATTTAGTGTGTGAAATCAAAATTCCTTGATGGGATGTTTTCTAAAAAAGCAACTGAACAACTTCTAGGCACACATCTTGTCAGATTTACAATTATATATAATATTTTAAATAAGTGTATTTTAAAGTATAACACACATCAGATATAGGTTTTCACAAAACAATAAGTTTTATAAAATGATAAACTTCACATCTCAGCCTTTAAACCACTTTCAAGAAAATGGATGAGTCAAAAGTTTCAATTATTATATTAATTTAAACAATTATTAATTATATATATATATATATATATATATATATATTACATAATTAAATAAATAAAATAAATACTAATTAAATACTAAACAATATTAGATCAAATATAAAAATATATTATTTTAGTATACTTTGATACAACTAGTGTTTTAAAATATTATTTCCAAAACTTTTTTCCTTCATTCGTTCTTCCAAACTGAAACACAGCTCTTGACAGAAAGTCAACAATGTCATTTCTCAGAAGCCAAGTCTCTTTAAAACCACAGCAGGTGACAGTATGCGTAGGAGATAAATCAACCATAACGGCCACACAGAAAGATCAGCCATTTTGATTTTTGATTTTCATCAGCCAGCTTTAACACTCTTGATAGAAATCAGGCATATTTTGACAGTCCTTTGAAATAATAAAAATAAATAAATAAATCTGTCCTGTCAAATACACTGCTGGGATGCAATGTGGGGACCACTGAATGTTCAGCCTGCTCTCTGAATGACAAAGATCTGCATCTGTGTCAGGAGTCAGAGATACTGTGTTCCTGATCGAGCCCCCCAGCAGGAAGCTACAATCCTCCGCACCCATCCTTCCCCCTCCTCCTCTTGCTCAGGAGAGAGGACACTGGATGAACGCTGTGCGTGCAGCGCTGAGGCTCTAAGATGAAGGCTGTACCCACATCCTGTGCACCTGCCTGCCCTGCCCCTCGCCTTCTGCAATTACCCAAAAACTGCAACTGCTGAGGCATTTTCTCTTTTGTTTTTGGGGTTCTGCTTGCATTCGGAAAAGCATGTGTTGGCCCGAAGCACTGCATACATTACTAAAAGCAAACAAACGCTGCAGAAACAGTTATTGAATGCCATTTACCTTCCAGCAATGAGGATGTTGAAACTTGACGGTGCACTTGGAAGCATCCATTGTGTTGTTATTAGAAATGACTCCCTGGGCTGAATATTACACAATCAAACCAAATAGACAAAGTTGGATTAGTTCAGCAACTGATCCAAAAGTTTGTTCTTAAATGGATTTTAATAACAGCCAAGGTATTTTACTCTGGCCTGCTTGGGACACCATTCACAGTTCAGGGACTCTGCCCATACTGGGTCTCTACAAATAGTCACATACATGGGCCAATGTGTAGTAAGAATGAAAGAAAAAAAAATCACATTTCTATCAATTTTAAAACACATGAGTCAAGTTCTTAGAAATATAAAATTTTGTAATCATGTTGGAATTATACATTTTTGGGGGAAAAAAGTTCATATTTACTAGCAAATGCTGTATTTGATGGCTTAATTTAATGACAAAAAATGTCAAATGGTGGAACCATAATGTAGAGTACAAAAATATATTTTTAAACCTTGAATAGACATAAATAACTTCATCAATGTCAAAAATCATTTAAAATGTTAAACCCTTATTAAAGATGAATCATGAATATCTAAAGTAAAATATCTTGACAGTAACAAAATCTGCTCTTTCCATAAAAAGATTTTTAAAAATATGTTATATATTTAAAACTACCACATGACAAAAAAATATTATTGGGTCCTTTTGCTTATTGTTAGTTATGCCACACTGACTTTGATTTACGAAGTTTTCCTAATTTAAATATTTTTTTAAAAAGCTTCACTAATATCTGAGTGTAATATCTGTGTAACATCTAATAAAAGTGTAATATCTGACTAAATGCGTCTTCATAAAAAGGTAAAAATATGTTATGTTTTAAAAAAGTCACATTACAACAAAACATGTTCTTACATATTGGTTATTCCACACTGACTTTGATTTACAAAGTATTCAAAATATAAATATTTTAAAATTACTTCACTATTTAATTGTTTTTAAATAACTAATGTAATAAAATATCTTGGAATTTCAAGGAACATTTTTTATATTTTTTTAAAACAATGGCACATGACAACAAAATGGGCTCTTCTACAGTATATTGATAATTCCATACTGACTTTGATACAAAATTGCTCTACTGCTTATTTTTAAAGGATTAATAACATAGGCCTAATGTTATAATATAATACTTTTTCAATAAATAAAGAATTTTAGCCTTTTAACTAGACTTTTTTTTCTAATTTAGGCTACAGTCTGTGGACAGTTACACCACCTAGACATTTTTTACTTAAGCCTTACAAAAAAATCAAAAATGCTTTTAATTCACACACTGAAATATATTAATACAACTTTTAATATAACAGTGTATTCAAATCATTCTTGTATGAACTGCATTTTGAGTAACTTCCGGACAAAAACACGCATCACGTCGTGGACCCATACATAAAATTACTATGACTGTATAATTGAGAATATCCTTCACATTTTGAGCCATACGTTTGCACACATACATCTTTAACAGTCATGAAAATGTGGACTAAACATGCTGACCTCTGAACTTCACGATATTAAAATAATAATGAAAACAAAGCGCTAAGCCGCCCACCGATGCTCCCCAGGGCTCAATTGCGCAAGAGTTTATCACTTACGATAAGGATCTCATTACACTTCGTTCTTTTACAAAAGAAAAGCGAACCAAAAATGACCACCTTAGTATGAGTATCCCTTTAGTTACTCCTAAAGTTACTCGTCGTGTCACAACAAACAGAGATTTATCGAAATACACCAGCGTTCACTGTTTTTCACCGACAAACGTCCCGGATGTCTGCCAACATTGTAGTTGCGCTCGTTCTTTGAGAGATGAGAAAAGTGCGCGTATCAACGACATGACAAACATTTAAGCTCAGAAAGCCTATAAAGATTTTAAACATGCTCCTTACCGACGTGAGTGATTTTCTGGCGGTCCTCGGCACGCGACATCCTCTCGTAATAAAGTTTTCATACAGCGTGCAACTGTGTTGTTTACAAAGTATTGAGCGGAATCCCGATTGGTCCGGGTCGAGCCAAGGCGACGCCCCGACGCTCAAACCCCATCTGACGCGACGCGACGCGACAAACTTGTAATCAACGCCGCTTCATTTCACCGCGTCGCAGAGTTGTTCATTATAATAGAACCGTTGTAGTTTGTCGCGTCGCTTGCAGTTTATATACGTGTATGTAGTCAGAGAGTTGCGCTTTTAAATCAACTGTAATGATCAGATATTGCACAAGGTGGTGCCATTGTCAACCTTCTCCTCAAAGTTTCAGGACTAGCAGATTAGCAGATTTACCATTATGCTTTATTCGACACAGCAGGAAATCAATATTATGCAACAAACACAGCAATAATTCAATGCAACAACATGAAAGTATAATACATCATTTATTTTTAAAGTGACATTGTTTATGACCAGCAGGTATCCCCATACTTATTACATCATGCAAAATATTATAAAACAAAATCTATACTAAAATAATTATATATTTTTAAATTGTAAAATATTTACATGGCATTTGTTGTACTGCCTTTTATTTATGCTAAATATTTTTTTAATGGGACTGCTTAATGTCATAAATATCGTGTCAAAATAAAAAATATTGCAGTGGTGGTCCTAAAATGTGAGTTGAACATGTTTATTATGATGATGATGATGATTATTATTATTATTATTATTATATATACATATATACATAGATATCAAGAGTAACAAAATGTAGCAAAACATACTGAAATTAACCAAATGTTATATTTAAAAAATCATAAATTTCAGACTTATTTAAATGTTAGCCCTATATAATTTCTTAATATAACATAAAAAATAATCTCACAGTGTAAAAATGTCATTTAGGATTTTTGTTTGTTTGTTTGTCTGCTTCCCATCATGCATGGTGGCTATTAAAGCATATAAGTTTGACAAACACATTTACAGAGGTTCACAGTTTCTAGAGGTAAATTCTGGACAGCCCGTATTGAAAATATAGGGGGAAATATCTCTTTCCTCATAAAAACTGCATCTCAAACAAGACCAAAGAAATTATTTTTTACAATTTTGCATAAGATATCCTAGTCTTTGAGCCTTGTCTCTAAATATGTGCTCTTTTCAGAAGGTTAAATCTCCTGAATGGACTTTAAAAACTCTCATTTATGCATCCATGACTCGTTTCTTTCATTCAGTGCTTTTTATTATCACCCTATATTATCGTATTATTATGTAATGATGAAGCGACTTGGCGTGCCTCGCGCTCAGTGTTTATGCGTGGCGTCACGGCATGCTCTCAGCGCCCCTCCTTCGCGCGCCTCTCTGTGTTGTTTCCGCATAATTAGAAGGAATCACCGCCCAACCCGATTCCAGCTTGGCTGCGTTGTTTGGGGACAGTCCGAAGATGGCGACGGCCCAGCTGTATTGCGTCTGCCGGCAGCCGTACGATGTGAGCCGGTTTATGATAGAATGCGATATTTGTAAGGACTGGTTTCACGGCAGGTAAGGAATTCAACCGTGTCTTCGTCATCCGCTGCGTCGGAAAGGCAACGAAATACCCGCCTATGAAATCCTATGGCACTTCGGGTGTCAGTAAGCCGTGCGTTGAGCTCGCTCGCTCGCACTGAGACGATTTCACGCGCTGCTTTGTCAATATTTCCAGGCGTTAATCGTCCCCTTTGCAGTTTTCACAATATAAACGCTCGTGTTACCGGTCTGTTAAAGCTTCGTTATTGTTTTGCAGTAACATTGGACTGTTTTATCATGGCTTCTCAAAAAAATCCAGCGATCCGAGCAGCAAAATTGGGTTCACGTAGGGTTTTCTCAGAAGCTTTGTGGTTAGGAGTTGCAGAGCATCAGCTGACATTAACCCCTTATGTAGTTTTGTGTCACATAAAAGTAAATAAATGTCAGCATCGAAGTGCACTTGAGATTGTGGTGTGTTAGACGTCAAGTGAAGGTTTATTAATGTTTCACACTTAACAGCAGTTGGGTCAACGTGCTACATGTCAAACAGCAAATAGCCTACTAAAATGGAAACATAAGATGAGAGATAAACAATTCAAAGAGCATACTGCTACTTTTAATTACGAAGAAGGATGAAACTGTTTAAAATGGAATAGATGTGATTTTGAACGAAGTCTTGATCGATGTGGTGCTGAAACTTGCACGCTTTCGAGTGAACTCGTGCGTAATGTTTTCTCAATACTTGTCTTATTTCTTATTGTTAAAAAAATTATAAACTGTAATGGTTGCTACTGTAGAGGTGTTAACAGAAAATAAAACGAGCATTTTAAGAGTTTTATACTGTTAGGAATTCGCGTTCAGCATTAACATTGGCGTGCCGAGCAACATCTGCTTATTTATTTTATTTATTTATTTATTTAATGGTTTGTTTTATTTTTATGCAGCCCGTATTGCGAATTGTATTGCTCTTAGCTCGTAAATTAAATGTATATGACATGCAGGTTATTTCTTTGTTGGTTGTTCTGCAGCAGTCAGTCTGTGAAGCGTGAGGAAACGTGGGGGGTTTCGATGAAAAGTTACACGGGGAATGGGGGGGTAACTAAACAAAGACGTGTGGTTGAGTTTACGAGATCAGACCGTTCCCTATTTCTCTCGTTAAATGTGCATTACATATTGCTTGGAAAGTAGCGTCTGGTTTTGGGGTTTGCTAGGTTTTATGGGAGTATTAAATATAAAAAGGAAAGTCGCGTTTGTAATGGAGCTCAGCGCCTTAGGTTTCTGTGATTGTTTGGTCTTTTTGATTGACAGCTGGGGTCGGGTATTTAAATCCCCCAGTTTTACAAATATGGGCATGTGGTTCCGCCTCTTAAAGGGACAGGTACCGTTTGACTTGTGCAGCGCGGAGCTGAAGCCATGTGTGAAATGCACGGGATAAAATTAGCTTGAACCGTAAATATTGCCGGAAAGCGTGCAAGAACATCGTGTTGCTTGTTTATAAGTGTGAAATTGCTGGGTGGCTCGTTTGTTTTAGTTTACTTGCGAAGCTTTACACATTAATGTAGAGAAGAAATGGGAGATGTAAATATTAAATAAGTGTTATAGATAAGCTATGTGCGTATTATAGTTTTTTCTGCTGAAATATTTCTTCATACAACATTATAAATGTTTAAACAAATGCAGATTATTATTATTATTATTATTGCATTAACATTTGAATGTTTTATATATATATATATATATATATATATATATATATAACAAAACAATATGAGAAAATATTTTATATAAATTATTTAAATTATTTACATTTATTATTTAAATTATTATTATATTTATTATTCATATTTAAATATGATATTTATATATATAAATGTGAAATTAACAATAATAACTTTTATTATTACTATTATAGACAATTAATGTACATTTAAATTATTTAAAATATTAAAAATAATATTATTATCATTGCAAATCACACCACAGCTTAGACCTGTGATGGTCTGAATAAATAACAGCATTTTAAAAGTCAGTCAGAAAGATCCTAAATTCCCCACCCTTTCTATAGAATATAAATATTTAGCATGGTTTTCAGGCATTCTTGCAGTAGGCCTGTGTGTTTGAATTGCAAGTGATGTTGAATTTTGCCAAGGGGCTTCTGTATCTTTGCATTACAGCATTGTGGTGTGTTGATAACATGGACTAATCATATTTTCAGGATGTGTGGTTGATGTGTTTTGTTCTGTTACTCAAAGGTTCCATGTGGCACTGCTGCCTGCCACCAATGGGATTAAGCCGTCTAGCCGGTCGCTCAGTCCTGGCTGTTATCTGGCTCCATGCACAGCCTGGTTTGGGAGGCAGGAGCCCCTGGGGGTGAAGGCCTCAGAGGATTACAAAACTCCTGATATTCATGACAAGAGGCCCAGTCGTACAGTTTCAACCTTTCAAAAAACTGCCCATACATGCCTTACCTGTCAGGTGCAGGCCAGTTTTACAGCATTTACAGTGACCTTGGAAATGGAATGTTACTAATGACTTGTTTAAATGGTTAGTTTATCCTCAGCAAATCCTCTTAAATCAGTTCTGAGGTCTGTGATTCTCTATGCGTCTCTGTCTTTTGAATAATGCGTGTATTTGCATGCATGATGCACGTGCGTGGGTGTGCTTGTGTGTTTGTAGGAGGGAAAAGATTGATGGAGGCCTCGCTGCCCAGAGGCAAGTTCAAGCCCCATTCATCAATGTCCCTCTGAGGTTGAAAACACTGAGTAGAGATAGATGACTTCTGTCTTGTCAGCCCAGGTTTTTTTACTTGGATTAGCCTGGTCGAAAGGTCACCCCGGTGTTTTGTATGGAACTTTAGGGATTCTTGATCATGATGAGATGATCCTGCGAACATGTGCTGCTTCACTAGAATATCAATTAGGATAAAATTGTGATAATAATCTGATGGAATCTTATGTATAGTTGCTTTTGCTAAATGACAATAAAATCTCTTCCATAAATATGATTACATGATTCTAAACACAAGTAGAGTAGATCTCTGGATATCGGTTTTCCATAGTCCTTAGTAACAACATTATTTGAGCTGTTTGTCAGATGGATTTTTCACAGACTGCTTATGTTATGATTAACGGCCTTAGGTTGCCAACCTATTGATTTCAACACCCTTATCCACTTTATGAATAGACCGAATGATCTCACTGGTCATCTGTCACATCTGTCATATCTAATAAGGGCTGTTAATTGTATTTTAATGCATTGAAAAGGGAAAGTAGTTAGAGCTGTGGGAATGTCGCCTCAAACCAAGGTTGAAAGAAGTCTCTTATGCTCACCAAGGCTGCATTTATTTGTTATGCTAATATTTCCACATCGTGATGTAGACATGTGGGGGCGTGTTAGAACGAGCCGTTTTAGGTAGGCGTGGTTGACTCTTCATTTTTAAGAATATCTCTTTGGATTTGAGACTTTAGTCTTTGCAACTTTACAGATCTTCTTTATGCACCAAGAGCTTGTAACACTCCAAAGAGAAAGGAAAACTTGAAATCGCATCATATGACCCCTTTAATGTTTTTGTGGAAACCATGAAACATGATTTTTGGGATTCTTTGATAAATAGAAAGTTCAAAAGAACAGTATTTATTTGAAATAAAATCTTTTGTAACATTATAAATGTCTTTACTTTTTTGATCAATTTAATGCATCCTTGCTGAATAAAAGTAATTATTTCCAAAAATGGCCCCAAACATTTAAACGATGGTGTCTCTCTAGTAGGGTCTATGCTATTTTCAGTGGCAGTTACAGTCTTGTTTGTGTTTAGATTTCTAAACAAAGGCAAGAGTTTGCAGCACAGTTGCGTCTGGAGGAAGTCCCCTGTCCCCTGTTGGGGTGATGGTCTTGGCCAAGCTTGTGGGTTTGAAGCAGTAAAGCCTGGTTTCCTATGCTAAATGCAACTTCCTGTGCTCATTACTCTCAGGGGCTCGTCTGCGTTTAAGACAGATGGTCGGTTTCTTCACAGAGACATAAGTTGGAGAGGGGAAGGCTTAGTTTATCTTTCGTTGCCCTCATTTTATGTTATGTTTCCTGCTGCTTCACTGTCTGTTGGCTGCCTTTTTTTGTGCACACCATTTCCTCCCTGACTTCCCTCAGTCAGGCTTAATTTAGCGAATAAGTGCAGCCACACATCAAAACTAATAGTGTCCTCTGTGTTCTTTGCAGTGAAGGTTTTGGTTAAAACAAAGAGAATTGGTTCACCTCACAGTCCTGCTCAGCCACTTTGTCTTACTGTTCTATCATTGTGCCCTCAAGCAAAGCACTTAACCATAGTTTATTTCAGAGGACTGTCTTTGCAATTAGAGTGTTGTAGGCGACACAGGATGAAAAGTGTCCACTAAATGACGAGTAACTCAAGCTTGGGACTGATTGATAGATACAAGAGGTCATTGTCAGGTTCTGCTTTGCTGTCCAACTCGGAAACCCAACACTTCCACCTCATAATTAGGGCCACTATAAATTAAAGTCAAGTAAATATGCTAAATTTGACTTGTTTACCCAGACCTGAGGTTATAGAACTACACTTTAGGCTTTCAGAAGGTTAAACAAATGAGACTTCTATCATCATTTACTCACCCTCTTGACAATCCAAACTTAGATGAGCTTGCTTTCTTCTGTAGAACACAAAAGGAGATGTTTAGCAGAGTGTTGTTCACGTTGCTCTTTTCCATACAATGAACGTGAATGGTGACCAGGGGTTTGCCAAATTTTTGCAGGCGTGATGCAGTCATCTCAATAGGAATCCATCCAGTCTGTAATTTTGTGTGTGGAACGTTAAAAGAAGAAGCATTTCCCCACACAAATTTTGCATTGGATTCAAGTTTGTTAAACTTTGAATATGCAAATTTGCACCAATAAAAAGCTGTTTAGCCCTAAGTAAACGGTGTTTCGTGTTGATTATGATAAGGGACAATTGACCTTCTTTTTGTTAGTTTTGCTAATTTGACCACGATTTTGTGATGGCTTTTGTGGCAGAAAGACCTAAATTT